AGCAATTTAGGCAGTTCTGAGCTTGCAAAACTGCTGAAGGTAAGAGCAGAGAAAGGTGGGTGGAGGCTACTGAGCTGTCAGCCTGGCCAGCACAGCTGTGGTCCCCTCAGAAATCAGGATATTGCTGCTCCCTCATACCTGCTACAGCTCCAGGGTCTGGCCAGTCAAGGGAGGACCACACATATGCATGGCACGTCAACCTGTGTGGCAGCTGCCACCACCATGGCCTAGGGAAAACAGTTCCCACCTCCCTTCTACCTTTAGGTGAATGTGGGGTACATCTCATTGGCAGAGCTAAAACTGCATCCAGCACCCATCTGGTAAGGAGGCCTGGGAAGCAGCCTCAGGCCCAGGGTCCCTTGGAGTCTGGGGGCAACAGACAGAAGTCTGGGTATGGTGCCAAGGGACAGAATATCAATTTACCTTATATAAAATAATACTGGAAAATAAGAGAAAAAGAAATGCATATATACATAGACAAGCAAGAAAATATGCATAGCCTCACCATCTTTTCTGCAACTGCTCACAAGGCTATAGCTGTTAGATTTAGAACTTCCTTCTACCAAGAAATCTACATTTCCTTTGTGTTTGGCATCTAGCACCAGTCTTTCTAGCATCTCAGCTAGTTAGAATTAGTTCTTCACCTAGTGAGGCAATCCAAAATCTTTATTCCCGAAGGGCCTTACCCTATACTGGTTTGCTCTACTCTACTTTTACCACAGAACAACTTCTGGGAGGTATCCTAGAAAATTCCATGTTTCAGACATAATTCTTACTGCTCTTCAATGTAGTAGAAATCCAACTTCCCCTTGATAGTCACCCCAGCCAGTAAATAACCACCTTCTCTGCTTGTTGGTTAAGTGGCATGAGATACAGACTGTTGACAGTCAAGGGAACTATTATTTTACTCTCTGGTGGAGGCATTGGTCCCTTTGGAAGTAAGACTTGTACCATAGGACAAAGGTGCAAGGATGAGAAGAAATCTTTTCTAAAGGTGAGTCTTTAGGTGAATGAATGAGAAGAGCCACTTTTACTTCCCCTCTTGGTCCTTGGATGCAAAAAAAAAAGCAGCACCATAAACGGTGGCAGTTAGAAACAATTAATCTTATCTCCAGGACATTCAAAAATGTTATGTTCTGGGTATGTTGTGTCAACTGGGTAACTGGGTAAGAAACTATGGTTCTCCATCGTGGCTAAGTCAAGTCTCTTAGCACTAGCCCAGAGTTTTTCCTACTACATACAGCAAGTAAAATTTTTGCAGGTTGCCCATTTATGTCAGTTATACAAACATGGTAATTTTAGCCAGTAGCAAAGATCCCTACAGGTCAAAACTTTTGAATTACCACTGTGGTCCTGTTGACTAACAATAGAGCAACCAAGTCCATACTGACTCTAGCAGTTTACTGGCACCAAAAAGCCCATTTTAATCATGTCATTCCCCTACTAAGCAGTCCCAACACACTAAGTCTTTGAAATCATCTTGGCGGGGGGGGGGGGGGGGTTGTCTTAGAATTGAATCCATAGCCTTTGCACTGAGTTACAACCTCAGCCTGTGTTTTTTATTTTTATTTATTTTATTTTGAGACAGGACCTTGTTAAGTTACTATACTATGTAGACTGAACTCAAACTTGTGGTCCTCTGGCCCCAAACTCCCAGACTGCCGGATTATAGGCATGTACTGCACACTCAACTTCATCATCATTTAATGCAGTCTTCTACTGAACCTAGTTTTAAATTAATCAAAATGCTACAGCTAAAAATCAGACACTCTGCTAGGAACAGTAATGTCGTATCAATAAATTCATCATCAATCTCACTATAATCTTTCCATTCTGTTCTAGAACCCATACATTCTAATCTCAGCATATACAATATGATAAAAAAGTACAGTACATATAATCTTTTTTAAAAATTAAAGTAAGAGACACATTGCTGTTAATCCTACTTACAGTACTCCTCTCCTTGCTTCAAACACACTTATCCCATCATTCGAGCCACTGTCTGTAGCAATTCTGGAAGTTCTTTTCTGTGACTGTCTTCAGTTGTGCTGTCATAGCTACCACACTGTCCTGAATCACTTCCAAGCATTTACTTTTCATGGTCATTTTAACTTTGGGGAAAGAACTAGAAGTGTGCATGGTACAGACCCAGAGAATAAAGTGGAAGAGGACATACTGTAAAGTTTTCATGAGCCTGCCTTTCCCTTGGATGGTACTTGGCAGCAGCATTCACTGTATTTTTTGATCATATGTACCTGTTATATACACCCATGAAAGAAGAATTCCAGAATTTCTTCATAAAGTGGCAAGAATGATGGAATAAGTGTGGTTGAAAAGGAGTATTGTGGGGAGGATTAAAAGCAATGTACATTTTACTGTAATAAGTTTCTAAGATTTCAACATTCACCATCTATTTTGATCCCATCTCATCTTTTCAAGTTTTTGTTAATATAAATTAACCAAATCCTACAAATCTTTTGGTGTTTTAGCTGTATCTTGCCAGGTTGGATTTTCTACTTATCTTCTGGGCTGTGGTGTAATTTGGTGACATTTAGTCCTTAAAGAGGAATAAAATAGGATTGGGACAAGAATACATGTGCCACCCCCTATCTGGAAGATCACTACAGAGTCTCCAAGGAAGGTATGACTAACTTTAGTAGATGGAGAGAGGGGACTGTTTCTGCAGGAAGAGCTCAGCAGGGTTTGTAATTTGTAGGTACCAGGGTTCATTTGAATCTACCTAAAATGCTCCTCAAATTCTCAATATTTCATCTTATCCCATTAATGCTTAACTCTCGCCTAAGAATTCTGATATGGCTATTAATTCAACTTACAATGTAGTTCAGCCACCTGTAGTGCCTGATCCTTGGCTACAATAGCCCTGTGACTATAGGAAATGGAAAATCTATGGCAGTCACAGAAGAGCTCTGCTTCTTTGATTGAGACCTGAGGGAAAAAAATTAAACTATAAGATTGTTATTTGCTTTCCTTAAGCACTTCAGTGTTGCTTATGTGTGGATTTACCATAGCTTACATAATCTCAGATTCCTTTAATGATTTCTCAACTTCTCCACTGAATTCCTAACTCAAGCCCAGAGTGAAGTGACAAAGGTCTCCAAGGAAGATAGTACTGGCTTTAGCAGGACTGACTAGTGTAAGAGCCAGTTCTCTGGACCTTGGGGAAGGCAGGGCAGTGAGAACTCATCCAACAGGTACGGACCCGGTTCCTACTGCAGGGTCACCACAGGACATCAGGAGGCCCAACACTTCCCTGGAGTGCTGACAGCAGGAAGAAGCCTCAGCCTCTGCAGCTCAGAGGGCAGGAGGAACCTCATCTCGCCGGGCTGCATGTCCACACACCACATAGCCTTGCAGAGTAACCTGGAGAAAGGCCAGCCCATATACATAGGGAAAACTGGCAGAATTGAATGTGACATCTGCCCAGAGGAAATCCTCCTTTATTTATGTATTTATTTTTTGGTACTGGGGATTGAACTCGGGTCCTTGTGCTTGCACAGCAGGCGGCGAAACCACTAAGCTAAATCCCCGGCCCGAAATCCTCCTTTAAATAAGAGGCACCAATATATGTTTATGGCCAAGCAGCTCACTATATTTTAAGGTGAAGCAGTTTGGGCATTACATTTATTTTAAACATCTTGGAATTGTTTTTTTCAGGTGATATGTGATGCATTTTTTTTTCACAACTTACTGAGTCTGTTTGATTTCATCTTCTCAACTGTTTAAAAGTATAACATGTTTTAATGGAAATTGCAAATTTGCCAGCGTCCTCTGTTGGGGCTCCTTTAAATCTACTATAATCATTTCTTTGGGTTGAAAATTCTTGTTTGCTCATACATTTCTAACCTACAATCAATCTGAAGACCAGGATACAATTTAAAAGCCCTAAAGTTCTAAATTAGAATATGAAATTTATTGTGTGGCTCCAGTGCAGTGCAAATTTTTCCATGACTTTACCCAGAAAACAGATGCCCCTCAATACCCTCATGGAGAAGCCCCATCATTACTGCGACTCTCTAAGTTGGAACAAAATGCACCCAAAGTTTCCTCTGACCTAGGACTTCTAGAAGGAGAACTGAAAGCAGCAGCCTGAAGCTTCCTGATTACGGTGTATATGAGCCTTCAGTGAACAAAGTGCACTCTCTCTCTAATAAGGTAGGCGCCAACTACTTGCTTTCCTTAGAGTTCCTCTCTGAGCACCACCAGGAAGATAAAAACATTCCCATCCTCAGCTCAGTAACTGTCCCTGAACAACGGGACAGACACTACCAACGAAGCACTGTGTGCAGGGGGCCCAGGGGCCATCTGATTGATAAGCAAGGGAGGCAGAATCCCTGACGGTCACTTTCATGAAGAGAAAATTAAGTAAAGGCAGAGACAACCTGAGGTTCCCCTCCAACTCCACCCTCAGCTAAGTATAACTGCAAGGCAGTCACTATTTTTAAAGCCCCATTTTATCTCAACAATAAAACAATGGATCAAATCATTCCCGTCCCCCCTTAGTAGCTTGGTAAGAGGATAAGTCAATGGTGATAGACAACTTCAGATACTTTCAATATTAACAGATGATATAAAAACCTACATAATTCTTAGTCATAGGCCACATTCATGAATCTTTTACAATCTCAAAAGGAGGCACAGAGTGGACAGACTGGAGTAGGGTCACCTCTCTAACACAAAGGGGGCTCTGCTTAGAATGTGGCAATAAAGCATTTCTCTCAGCTTCTGATTCCCTACCCTTATCAATAAGCCAAGGGTAACTCCCATTCTGTCTACCTTCCAGAGTTATCACAAAGATCAAAATCAGAACAGAATAATGGAGGTAAAAGCCCATGACTAACAAAGCAGAGAAAGTGTGTTACAAACTGTGAAAGTCTTAGTTATAAAGAAAGCAGCAGAACTCACAGGGCTGCTTCAACTCCAACACCCATGTCAAACACGGGACTTAGTGGCACAGAGGAAGTTGACTGGAGCCTCAGTACCTGATGGTGGTGCCTTGCAATCGGTCTATCTTCTTATTGAGCTCAGCAATGATGCTGTGGAGTTCCGTGATGCGTTCCTCATACCGCAGCGTCGTTCGCTCCTGGACATCCTCATGTTCTCTCATGAGGTGGGACTGCTCACACTGGGACCGAGAGAACAGGACAGAAGTGAAGATGAGGTGATGTACCTTTAGTCAATGATCCTACATTTTACGTCTTCAAACCATCACAGCCTCTATGCTGATTGTGCCCAAAGTAGAACACTTCTGCTCACTGCCCAGCACCCCAGGAGACACATCAACGGGACAGTTCTGTGATGCCCATGCCGGATATCTGAGGTGCTGCTTTTCCCGCACTCATTGTCTCTCTGGAAACCTTCTCTCAGCCATGGCACGGTCACCGTGGGCCTACCCAAGTCGTTTGCTTCCCCTTAGCCAACAAATGGGCAAGAGGCCCAAGCCAGGTCCATCAGATACCTTCCCTGGGAATCTGAATCTTGAGCAAAGGAACCTAAGATTGCATGGTATTGATTCATGAACTGCCTTGACGGACTGTCCTTTAGTTCCTACTGCTTATGTATTACTTTATGGCTGCTTAGTTTTCCCTTTACCAATTCAGTCCTTCTTTGCTGAAGTTTACCAGCTATTTTTCAACCAAATAACCCAAGTGACATGACAACGTGACTTATCGAGCTGGATTATGTGTGACTTTAATGCTTTCCAATATTCTTCCCAGGCCATCAACTCCCAAAAGGCAGGACAAAGTGCTTTCGGTATTTAACCCTAGCCTTTGGCACATGGCCTGGTTCACTGTAGGTGACCTAGAAGTGTTATGGAATGAATAAACTGCAATGTATCACACTGCCATGAAGGCTACTTTAAAGAAACAATGACAAAAGAGGCTGAAGAGCTTTCCTCACTCAGTGTTTGATGGACCAAGAGGCAGCAAATGCTATAAAAACATTTTTGTGGACAGAGTTTAAATCCTAAGGAATCTGTTCACTTTTTTCATTTCTCTCTACCCTTCTAAACCCCCACTTATCACTCTGGAGTTAATCTCATTTACAGAACAATGAATTTCTCCTCAGGGAAGGAGCAAGTGGTCTAGCTTGTGTCCTTGTCTACCACACCCAGCCTTAATTAATTTCCTGTCCAGTGGAGGAATTTTAATTTAATTTTCAACAAAGTTTTTCTAATGCCAAGATCCACATGTTTTTGCCAGCTTTATATTTTTGGGCCTGATAGCAGTCAGGGAAGGGTACTTTTTACCTACCTCTGTACTTTCAATGTCTCCCCCGTCCCTAGATCTGCCAAATTTCCAAAGGTGTAACTCAGGGAAGAAACCGAAAGATTTCACAGGCAAGCAGAATGCTATACTCAGCCTAGCTCAATACTGAAACAGAAGTACTCAACAAATACATCTGACAAACACATTGGTATAATTAACAGGGACCACATGTATGAACGTGACCTTCAAAAGTAGCTTGGCCAGGATAATGTAATTTCCTAGGAGTTACTCAAGGCTGCAGAAACAAGATCAGAGTCAACAAGGTTGTAGGGTGCTGTATCATAGAACTCAGTGGGTAGGTACCCTCAGAAAAATACTGCTGTGAACTACTGTTTTTAGTGACAACCTGAAACATCAAATAATATCCACTCAAGATCAGTATGTGGGAAAGAAGTGGAGCCAGAGGTGAGGATGAAGATGGAGTAAGAGCCACCTATAAAAGCTGGGAGTGTACCTCAGCAGCACAGTGCATATTTAGCATGTATGAGGCCCCGGGTTCAATCCTCAGCACCAAAAACAAAAAAGCCAGGTGGACGTGAAAGCTTTCCTAACAGAATGACAGGCCATGAACACTCTTTCCATGTATTTAGACCTTTTTTTTTTTTTTTTTTTACCTACAATGGATCAAATTTTAAAAGTTCATGAAAGCAAAGATTCTCAAGAACAGATTCCCCACATTTCACTGGAGTATAACATCAGCAGAACACTCTTCCTCTCAGTTCCCACAAAGTATCTATGAGCACTTGATATTGGTCTTATTACCATGCCCAAGCTGTGAGGTTGTCATGTACACAGGCATGCACAGTGGACACTTTCATCAGCTCCAGATCTTTTAATGATTACAGGATAATGCCCCCTCTTTGACCTGGACGCTGTCCATGCCATGACTCCTTCCTTCATTGCCATGTCGCTGGTTCCTCCTCTTTCGTTTTTTCACACTGAGTTCTTTAGGGCTAGAGTTTTATGTGAACTGTTTCCCCTTCCAAATTCAAAGAGCTCCCTCTCTCCCTTAATCCCTCACTTATTCTTCCTTCTTTATCATGTTTACAGATCAAAAGACCACTACCAACACCTACACAGGTAAGAAACTGCAAAATCCCAACAATGAGGGATGGGGGTCCAAGTGTTTATATAAGAAAATGGCACACGATAAACTGATAGCCACCAAAAGACAACCCTGGTGTCCTTGGGCACTTGTTATAGGCTGCCCAGGTTCCAGAGATACCAGATGGAGAGCAAGAGTATGAGGTCTGCTGCTGCACCGCCTCTGCCCATGCCTCTGGAAAATCAGCCTGGAGGGTACCCATAGGAACAGGAGACAACAGGAAGCCTGATGACTCAGTCAGGCAGAGCGAAAAGACTCATAATATATACTGGGAACTCAGAGGTTCACTTGGGAGTAGTAACAAAAATATATTGGAGAAAAAAATTCTCTTGGCTGAGTGCAGAGAAGTCTGGCTTACATTCCTATATTTTTCTTTAAGTATTTTTTTAATGGCAGAAAGTTCTATAGTTTAATACATCCTCTACAGATATCAGACAATTCTTGATTTCCCATGATGTCTACGAGACTTGCTGGGTGCAACAGGGGAGGTGATTATGACGCAGACTTTGAAGGGAACCAGGTTCACAGCATCCAAGTGGACTAAAACACTCTCAGACTTCTGGAGAACAAAAGCATGCACAGAAGTGGGGTGATGAGAATAGATGGTAGAGTGCTGCCCTGGGCTTCTTTCCCCAGTGAAGACACAATCCTGGAAAAATCGCTGTCAAACCAATCCTAGCCCTAGATGCGTGAAAGGCTAAGATGGTTCATCGGTACAAATCAACTTCACTCCTTTGTGCACACTCATTGTATTCAGTCAAGGGTGAATCAATAATCTCAAAGCTCAGGGAAGGCCCCTTGAGTACCTCCAAGCTGTGGTGCAGGGAAAAGTGGAGCTACGCTCACCAAAGCAACAGTGGAGGAGGAAACAAGCTGCCGCCCACAGGAGCCACAGAGTCTGACAGAACAGCCTTGCTAAACAGCTCCACTAAACTGCACAAGAGTCAACTCCAGGAATGCAGCATGTTAGTGCAAGAGAGGTGGAAGGAGTGTGTGACACCAGCCAGACACAGTCATTCCAAGCACAATCACTGCCTGCCTGCTCTGGTGACATCCCACTTGGATAGGAATGGCCTGTTGAGGTGAAACCCAATTCTGTTACCATACTCTGGCATGGTTACCAACCCGGTGCCTCGGACCACACAGTTTCCACACCCTGGGAGGGCATTTTCTAATCTGGAAGGATGTGTAATTTCACAAGAACACAGGCTAGGCCAAGATCAATACCGCACCTCCATTTCAGCATCTCCTATGAACACGTTTCAGAAAAACTACATTTAGGAAGTTAATGAAGAAAACTAAACAGGAGAAAGGGGGCACTATTTTTACGATTATGAGTTACTATTCCATAAATCCTGAATTTAAAAATTTTTATATCTATCTCCTAAAATATCTATCACTCCTTTATGGTGTCATTCCTTTTTGAAATGTACAATACACCATTGTTATCTATTGTTTCCCTACTATACAATAGCACACTTTTACACTGAAACTTAGTAACCACTGATCAACCTCCCCACCTCTTCCTCTCTCCCTAGCCCAAGCCTATGGTAATCACCTATGAAAAGGCTGTCCTTTCTCCAGTGCAAGCTCTTGGTACCTTCATACAAAATCATCTGGCTATAGATAGGAGGTTTGCTTCCAGGGTCTCTGTTTTGATCCACTGGTTTATATGCCTGTCTTTAGTCAGTGTCGTGCTGTCTTGATTACTACAGTTTTGTACTCTCTTTTCAGGCTTCTTTTCACCAGAGATTCTTTTGGTGATTCTAGATAAATTTCACAACTATTATTCCAGTTCTGTGAACAATGTCACTGGTGTTTGATAGGAATGCTTTGGGCGAGGGCTGGGGATGTAGTTCAGTGGCACCACACCTGCCTGACAAGCGCAGGGTCCTGAGTTCAATCGGCGGTAACCCCCCCCCGCCCCCGCCCCGCCGCAAAGACTGCTTTGGGTACTATGGACATTTTAACAATATTGATCTTTCAATTCAGGAAGATAGGATATCTTTCCATTTCTTGCATCTTTGCTTTTTTTTATCAGTGCTTTATAGCTTTCAGTATGTAGAGCTATTACCCATTTGGTTAAATTTATTCCTAAATATTTATTTATTGGTAGCTATTGTAAAGGGGATTGCTTTCTGAGCTTCAGGTTCAGATAATCTGCTATTTACCACTGGTTTTTGTATCCTGCAACTCTGTTAAATTCATTAGTCCTAACAGGTTTTTTGGTGGAATTTTGGGGATTACCTAATACATATAAGATAATTTGCAAACTGACATTTTGACTTCTTCCTTTCTAGTCTGGATATCCTTCCTTCCCTCCAACCTTCGTTTTTTGTTTTCCTCTCTCTTTTGCTTGTTTGTCTGCACAGGCTGCTCTTGAGCTCCTGGGCCTAAGTGATCCTCCTACTTCAGCCACCCAAGTACTAGATGTACAACTATGCACCATCACACCAGGCTTTGGAAGTTATTTCTTTCTCTTGCTTGACTGCTCTAGTTAGGACTTCCAGTAGCACAGTAAGTAAAAGTGGTGAAAGTATCTCTGTCTTGTTCCAGACCTTAGAGAGAAAACTTTTGGGTAGTCTTCATTCAGCATAATGTAACTGTTAGCTTATTATAGCTGTATATGTATCACGTTGAGGTACATTCTTTCTGCATCTAATTTGTTCAGTGTCTTTACCATGAAGAGATGTTTAATTTTATCGTGTCTTTATTGTATCAACTGAGATAACTTCATGTTTTTGTTTTTGC